TGGGGTACTTTCTAAACCCCCAAAAAGTCATCTTGGAAAGCGCATTTCGGGAAATGGTTTTAGTTTAAAAAAACATTCGCTCGCGTCAAGATATTTTTCTTCGTCTCGAAAATTTCTCTCGGTCTCCAATAATACATTTTTTGTAAAGTGAAAACTCGACCAAGTGTTTAAAAAATATATAACAAAAAAAAAAGAAACTGAAAAAAAGCAAAGTGAAAGTGAACTGAATAATGTAAATAGTGCTGTGTTGTGCTATTGAAATCAGAAAAAAAGAAAAATAATAAAAATAAATAAATTAAAAAACAAAGAAACAAAAGGAAAATTAAAAAAATAATTTAAACTGTTTGTAAATAGTGCTGTGCTGTGCAATTAACCAAATCAAAAAATAAAATAATAAAAAACAAACGAACAAAAAGGAAAATTTAAGAAATTATTAAAACTGTTTGTAAATAGTGCTGTGCTGTGCTATTCAAAAAAAAAAAAAATATATCGATCAAGTGAATTAAAAAACATAAAATAAAAAACAAGAACCAAAATGTATCGATTCTGCGAAAAGTGCAATATGCCCACAAATTCCTCTGCTGAATGGAATCAGCATGTGCGAACGGAGAAGCATAAAATGAATGCTATTGAACCCGTGGATTCCCGGGTCAAAAAAGTAGCAGATGGATTTCGAGGGAGGATCCTTCACTACCTGTTCGAGAATACGCAGGCAGGAGTGATATTCCCAGCATCATTTCTACGAGAGGCAGGAGACGCATTTCTGCCTCATCTAGCAACAATTTTGGAAAGCTATGCATCCGTAAAAGTTAATTTTGAACTTTTCGGTTTGTATAAGCTATTAAAAGATGAAGAGGAGTGTATGGAGATGAAGTCATTTCAATCGAAAATGACAATTCTCTCCATGCACTCAGACATTAACAATGAATATGAGGACCACACGGAGAAAATAATTGGAAAAATGGATGAGTTCCAAGAGAGGGATAGTGGATGGACATTGGTCCACATCGCTCGGCTTGAGATGAACGTGAACCAATATTCACCAATAAGAGGATCGTCATTTATCGAGCTACCTGAGGCACTGGAAAATAAAGGATCCATTGTGAATGTAAGAAACTTGAACGATGAGTTTTGTTTCAAGTGGACGATAATTGCTGCGATCATGAACAAATCAACCAAACGGAGTAGATGCAGCGGGTATAGGGTTAACATTGAAGATGATGTTATCACCCTCCAAAACGGATACCAATTGGATTTCAGTGGATTGGAGTTCCCTCTCAACCCTCGACATATCACGGATTTTATGAAAAAAAACCTGGAGCTGAGCGTATCTGTTTTTGGATATGATGATGGATTAATTTATGGCCCCATTTTTTACCCACCTGAGGTGAAACCCCGCCACATAAATATGCTGCTTTTGGAGGAAGGAAATAAAGCGCACTACACATGGATAAGAAATCTTTCAGGGTGAGTCTTATTTATTATTTTTATTATTTTCCTATTTTTATTATATTATTAAATATATATATATATATATTTTTTTTTTTATTTTGATTTTTATTATTTTATTATTTTATTTATCTATTTATTTATGTTTATTTTTTTAATTTTTTTTTTTAATTTTCTGTTCACCTTTTTTTTTTTTTTTTTTTTTTTAATTTTCTATTCACCTTTATATATAGTTAAACGTTAGGGGGATTTTAGCTAATAGCTTCTTTTTTATTATTCATTGTTTTAGTTTGGTTGCCTCTCAGACGGGAAAAGGGAAAAGAAAGCAGTGGTTCTGCAATAGATGCCTGAATTATTCCTTAACTAAGGAAGCTGCCAAACGTCATTCTGAAGTGTGTAGCAAAATAGTTTCCAGACTGCCCCATCCGCGCAACGCCACCCTCCGCTACACGAATGTTCATAAGGAGGTTAAGGTGCCATTTTCAGTATATGCTGACTTTGAAGCTATACTGCAGCCTGATGAGAAGGCTATTAGTCAAAAACTATTTAAAATAAATACACATGTGCCTATAGCATATGCATATTATATTAAGTGCGCGTATGATGATAGTTTAAGTAAGTTAGAAATTGAAACGACCTTAGAAGCAGGGCAAAATTTTGTTAATTCACTCATTACAAATTTAAAATATATTTATTCAAATTATATTTCAAAAGAAGTTCCCATCCAAATGTCTATGGATGAGGAAGAAGAATTCCAAAAAACTGATAAATGTCATATCTGCCATAGTCCCCTTTTATTAGATAGGGTGAGGGATCATTGCCATTTTACTGGTAAATTCAGAGGTGCTGCACATAATGCATGCAATTTAAAATATCAAGTCCCAGACTTCATCCCAGTTTTTTTCCATAATTTCTCCAGGTATGATTGTCATTTATTCGTGAAAGAATTGGCTCTCATACCTGGAGAAATGAGTGTTATTCCATCGAATAAGGAGCACTATATTTCCCTCTCAAAAACTATAACTACTGATGATGGGGGAAGTTTTCAGATTCGCTTCCTTGATTCTTTCCGCTTCATGTCGTCCGCCTTAGACACACTTGCATCAAACCTAGATGATGATCAATTAGTAACAACGAAAACTTTCTTTGAAAATCAGGAAGAATTTTCTTTGATGAGGCGTAAGGGTGTATTTCCTTATGAATATTTAGATTCAGTTGAGAGGCTATCAGAAACTTCTTTACCCCCCCGAGAAGCATTCTATAGCTCCCTAACAGAAACTAATTGTTCGGAAGAAAATTACACTCATGCACAGAGGGTTTGGGATAAATTTTCATGTCAAAATTTAAAAGATTATTTGGAATTGTATTTGAAAACAGATGTCTTGTTAATGACAGATGTTTTTGAAAACTTTCGAAATATCTGCATGAAAATTCATTCATTAGACCCTGCGCATTTTTACACCTTACCTGGTTTATCATGGGAGGCCATGCTAAAATATACCGAAATTGAGCTAGAACTGTTAACAGATATAGATCAATTAAAATTTCTGCAATCGGGTATTCGTGGTGGTCTCGTGCAATGCGTAAATCGATATTCAAAAGCTAATCATAAATATTTGGATTCTTATGACGATAAAAAAGAATCCCAATATTTATCATATATTGATGCCAACAATTTGTATGGATGGGCCATGTCCCAACCTTTGCCATATGGAGGATTTGAATGGGTATCAAGGGAAACCCTTGATAATATAAATATATTAGAGCTCCCAGATGATTCTGAATATGGCTACATGTTCGAGGTAGATTTAGATTATCCGTTTAGCTTGCATGAGACTCATAATGACTTACCATTTTGTTGTAGTAATCAGCTACCAACACCATCATCTAAAGTAAAGAAATTAATTGCAGATCTTAAAGATAAAAATAAATATATAATCCATTATAGAAATTTGAAACAGTGCTTAGAATGTGGGTTACAATTAAAAAAAATTCATAGAGGTCTTCGCTTCTTCCAAAAACCTTGGTTGAAGAAATATATTGATCTTAATAATTTTCATCGTACAAATGCTAAAAATCCATTTGATAAAGATTTTTATAAATTATTAAACAATGCGGTATTTGGAAAGACCATGGAGAACGTTGATAAACGCGTTAATATTAAATTAATTTCAGAATGGGAAAGTGCAACTCCAAATGATTCTCCCGGTCGTAAAAGAGATTGCGCCCGTTCACTGATTTCTAAATCTAACTTTCATAGTCTGAAAAAATTTTCGGATCATTTTTATGCATTTCAAATGACCAAATTAAATGTTTTATATAATAAACCATTATATTTAGGTTTTTCAATTCTTGAAATTTCAAAATGGAAGATGTATGATTTTCATTATAATTATATGAAACCAAAATTTAATGAAAACATACAATTAAATTATATGGACACAGATTCATTTATATATACCATCAAAACTGATGACTTCTATAATGATATTAGAAATGATATAGAGTCATATTTTGATACATCTGAATTTCCAGATAAAATTGCTGAAACGTATAATTTTCCTAAAACCAATAAAAAAAGTTAGGGTTTTTCAAAGATGAACTCAATGGGAAACCCATGCTCGAGTTTGTTGGTTTACGCTCGAAAATGTATTCATATAAATTTAGTGAGGGTGATGGTAGCGCTGAAAAAACAATAAAAAAATCAAAAGGTGTCAAACGAAGCGCAATAGAGAAAATAGACTTTCATGATTATAAAAAGTGTTTGCTTTCTGAGGAGTCTGTGATAGGGTCAATGGCAATGTTTCGATCATCAAATCATGTAGTATCTACTATTAGGTGTAATAAAATTATACTTAATAGTAAAGATGATAAGAGAATTATAGATTCTAATAAAATGAGTACTATGGCATATGGGCATTATAAAATAGAAGAAAAAGATTTAGAATGTAAAATAGCTGAATTAGATGTAAGTATTTTCGAGTGGAATGAGAAAATAAAAAAAATTGAAAATTGTACAAATAGGAGTAATTTAGAACAAAAAAAATTAGAAGAATATTTACAAAAAAGAGAGGAAGACCAATTTAAATTGGAAGTCAAGGAATTAGAACAAGACCTATTTATAATAAGAAAATCGGATGATTTTAAATAAAAAGTATTTAGATAATATATTATAATAAACAAGTATAATTTTATTTAACTTTGTGAAACATGTAAAAACTTAATTCTAAGAACAAATATGTATTTTTTTAACAATATTAATTTTTTTGAACAATAAAAATTATTAGTTTTATTTATATTCATTATATATTTTTAAGAACAATTGTATATTTTCTTAATCAATTTAAAAAAAAAAAGTTAGTAATAATAATAACAATTTTAGAAAAAAAAAAAAAAATTTTTATTTTTTAAATAAAGAAACAATATAAATTTCAAAAAAATTTTTTAAATAACTTGATTCATTTCATTATTGGTGGGAAATTCTTCTTATGGATCTAATATATTAGATTTCACAATTTGGGTGTAATTAGTTAATCCTCCCTCCATTAAAATTACATCATTTTCGTTTTGGTTTGTATCATCAACAAATGGAGGGGGAGGGGGTTTTCATCTTCTTGGTCTATATTTAAAGGTAAGATTTGTTTATAATTTTCAGCGCCGCCTTCCATATAAATAAGTTCATTTTCATATAGCCGTCCTGCTTCTTCTTCTTCATCTGTGTCTACATAAAAAATCCCTTCTTCACTGATTAGATTATTTTCCAAAGCCTTATCTGTAAACAAAATTAAATAAAAAATAATTATGAAATATTCAACTATATACAAAAAATGAAAAATATATAAATACAAATTTAGTTCACTCACCTTTTTCATTCATATCATTTCCCCTATCTATAGAAAAATAAAAAGAGAAGAAAAGAGAAGAAAATAAAAGAAAAGAAAAAAAATTAGTATAATATTTCAAAATTGAAAATAAACATAAATTTAGTTTACTCACCTTTTTTATTAGTTGTATCATTTTGAATCTTGTTTTTCTCCCAGTCATAACCTTCACTAAATTTTATATTCTGGAAGAGAAATAACTTTTTACCTATGAAATTTCATCATTAAGTATTGATTGGAACTCATCAATGTTTTTAACCTTTATTTCATCGTTCGAAATCTGGGTTTCTTTTCTATTTAAATAATCATCTAACAGTCTATCTGCTATATTCCTCTTTTTTAAATATATTGCATTTATTTGCTCTGCCTCATCATTTCTAATTTCCCGCACTTGTGGTTCATCACTTAAATAATCATCGTTAATATCCTGATACCTGTTTTCTGTTGCAATTTGATGATCTGCCTCGCTCGAAATCTGTGTCCTAATTTTCTTGTCTTTCTTTCTCTCATTAACAAGAGCCTCTTGTGTTAACGCCTCAGCAAATTCAAAACAATTTATTCTAAGTGTTGATGGAGGAATATGATTTATTTTTTTATTGTCAGTATTTGAGGTGTGAGCTAATCTAGATCTATAGTGACATTTAATACCCACCTTGCCATTTGAATATGAAATAATAAAATATCTATTAGCCCCTCTGTGACCTAAATCGAAATGACCACCTATTTTTTTCTCCTGGGCTATTAATTTTTGCTTAAAGTTTTCTATTAATTTTTTTTTGGTTATGGCTATACCTGTGCTATTCATAGTTGAACTATTTTTTAATCTACGCGTCGTGTTTCTCTTCACTGGTATACGACTTACATTATCCTCATCATTATCGGCTATCCCCAACATGATCTTAAATGAAGAACTATCATCCGCCATAGTATTCGCTGTAGTTGTAGAAGTTGAAGTAACAGCTGAAGTTGATGTTTCAAATGTTGAACTATTGAGTAATAGCCTTTCCCTGGTCATCACAAGAGTTGTATTTGATTCGTTTCCGGTAGTAGAAGGTAAAATTGGTTCCAACGTCCTCATCGATTGTTCTTCTCCATTCTCGAATAAAATTGGTGAGGGTGCAGGTTTATTTGTTGTTGTTGTTGTTGTTCCATCATCATTATCATCATCATTGAAAATTGGTGAGGGTGCAGGTTTATTTGTTGTTGTTGTTGTTGTTGTTCCATCACCCTCACTAATGAGGGTTGTATCAACTTCTCTATCCTCATTCAAAATTGGTGAGGGTGCAGGTTTATTTGTCGTTGTTGTTGTTGCTACATCATCATCATCATCATCATTACCCCCATTAATGAGGGTTGTTTCCAGCGTTGAAGTTGATATTGCTTCTCCGTCCTCGATGAAAATTCGTGAGGGTGATGAAGGCGGGGTTGACGAAATTCGCAGCAGTGAAGGCACCATATTCTCACTCTCACTTTCACTTTCACTTTCACTTTCACTTTCAATTAATTTCTCATTTTTATCATTAATAATAGTTGAGGATATGTTTTTGTAAATTTCGGTATCTTCCAAAATTTCAAAATTAAATTCTATCCTCATTAATTTGTTCGAATTCGGTAAATTCATTAAAAACTCAACTTCATTTGATGAATTCCATGAAGTTGAGTTTGTTAAATTAGCTAGTACATATTTAACCGGAGCAGTCTTCACGCCACACCAAATAGTCGCGAAAACGAAGATCACGACCGCGTTGAAAGACATAGTGATGTTTTCCAATGTAAGAATAGTTGGGAACTGATCTGGACCGAAAATTCATTCGCCCTTTTCACATTGAGAACGAGCAGAGAAATTAAACAAAACATAGACATTCACATGCACATACAAACAATTATCAAGATTTTTCTTCGGTTTGTATATAGAAGGCACTGCTCGCCACGCACTATCAGCCGCATACCACACACGCATATACACAGAGTATATTCCACATCGCCCTCCACGCACATCGCCCTCAACGCACATCGCCCTCCACGCACTATCCGTCACGCATTAATTATAGAATTTCGTTTTTATGGACCCAGCTATCTTCTGACTTTGGAAAGCCTAGCCAGCGCACAAGCACACGATCCCCCTTCCGCTTCAAAATCTTCTCGACGAGATAAGTGTGGGGGAACATAGTCTTTTTTATTTCTTGGGCATAGAAACCGCCTTCTATAGGGGTCCCCTTCAGATCTTCAAGTAAATAAGTGGTGGGGAATGTGTTGTTAACATGTCGTATTCGAAAAATTTCTGTGGTCCAGCCCGCTATGTACCCCTTTGTGAATACATGTTTATATTTACTTATGCGTACAAATTCCCCTTCCCGTAAATTTTTGTTATTTAAAAATACTTTTCGGTGGTTGTAGACCGTTGATAAAAGTTGTTTCTCATTAGACGCATTGACGTCAATTGGTTTCATTTTTATTGTTCTATGCTTCCTGTTGTTGTAAATATCAATTAAGTTTTTATACATTTGAATCCATGTATATTTTCCATTGAAACTAAACTCACGCCACATAAGTTCTTTTAATGTTCTATTAAAACGTTCCACGATCGATGCTTTAAGAACGCTAAAAGTTGAGTAATGATGAATTTTAAATCGCGTCATTAATTCTTGAAATTGTTTATTATAGAACTCATTTCCATTATCTGTTTGTAAATTCTTGGGTGCCCCTCGACCAGACTTTAAAATGTTTAACATAGCTTTGGTGACATCTGTTGCATTTTTTGATTTCACCGCCTCCCCAAAAGCGAACTTACTGAAACAATCCACAACTGTCAATAAATATTTATAGCCTTTATTGACAGAAGCATAAGGCCTCATCTCAACTAAATCAGCTTGCCATAAATCATTAATTCCTTTTACTATCACTCGACGTCGTGGGAAGTTTTTTAATGTGGGGCGATGTAATTCATTCACAATATCTCGCTTACTCATATTTTAATTTTATTCGGGATGAATGGTGTTCGCTCCTTAGATATTGTTTCACTTTTTAATATTGATTGCGGGTGAATTATATAGCTGAAAATACTATTTTCTATTTCATCAATTTGCATTATTATTTCACGAAGATTTTTCTTTAGATAATCAATTTTTGAAGAAATTTCATTCACTTTGCTCTCAACATGATTTATTCGGGGTTTTACTTTAAAAATTGACTGTTTCTGTGGTTGATTGGAAATTACAGTAGATATATTTGTTAATACTTTTCTTGTTTCATCATCAACATAATTCTTTGTTACTACATCATTTTCATGGATGGGAGGTAAACAATTTTTAAATCTTTTTCTCTGAAGATTTAAATTACCATCAGAGTCAGTGAGTAAGCTTTGAAATTTGATTACCCCCTTTTTAATCTCCCTTGAGTACTCTCTCTCAATTAAAAAACATCCAAACTTGTCGAGTGTCATTATTATTATAAATATAAAAGCTGAAGGAATGGTATATTTAACTTTCAACTAAATCAGTTTTCGGATCTCTTTCACGGTGTGCGAATGGGCTTTTTTTAAGCAAAGTTCCTTCTATTTCCACCTGTTGCGTACGAAGATTTGGTGGTGGTGGGTTTTTTGAGTTTATAAAACTATTAATATTTTCAATTTGATTAATTATGTTGTTCATCAAGATATCTATATTTTCTAATTGTGTAATCATTTTTATTGCTTTACTCTCCAACTCTGATACTCTTTTATTTCGATTCTCAAATGATTTGTCAATCGATTCCATTTGTAGTAATTTAACATCGTCAATTTTCTTGTCTACATATAGTTTTATGACTAAGTCATTACCATTTATTGGTTGTGAAGAGTTTTTTATTCTTTTTCTCTGTACATTTATATGGCCATCAGTATCAAGATAAACACCCGTGAGACTTTCAAGCTCCCTTTTGAAAAGTGAGGAAAATTCTCTATCATTCGAAAAATGACCAAACTTGTCAATTGACATTTTAATATTAATTAAAAATTATAAAGTGTCTTCTATTTTATTAATATATTATTTTTTCTTCTCGCAATTCTTCTATTATCGATAAAATCTCATTAGAATGTCCATTATGTCCAGCAGCTTTTGAACTCATTAAAAGCTGTAACCTCTCTACAAGCTCGTTTACATTATTCCAATAAATATACCTAGGTTTCGATCGTTGAAGCTTCATATATGCTGACCCAGTATATTTTCGAGTGGGTGAGACAGCTGATGTCATAAGAGGTCTAATAATTGATGAATATTTCTTCGAGCGATTTCCTTTTAATTGCCCGTCGGGTTCATAGTTTCTTTTGTGAGCACTTGTCTCAATTAAAATTTGTTTATATATTTTTAAATCATCTTTAGTATAGTCACGAGGTGCGTTATGAAAAATTAGTGAGTATAGACCCTGTGTTAAGGTCCATGAGTTTCCACTCTCCAATTCCATTTTATTTTTTTGAATTTTAAGTGCACTATTACCTAACATCAATATATTATTTTCTTTTCGAGGTCCGTAACTATTGTCTAGATGCTTTTGTTTCTTTAAATGACTAATGTTGAGATCGTATTCCACTCCTTTTTCTTTATTTACATTTTCTTGATCTTCTTCTTCTTCTTTTTCTTCATCTTCTTCTTCTTCTTCATTTGAATCAGAATCAGAATCAGAATCAGAATATCTTTCAGAATCTTGTGAAAAAAATTCATCTTCGCTTTCTTTTTCGCTCACATACTGTTTTCTCGCGACATGATGCTCCTCCTCTTTCTTTATCAATGATTTTTTCTCAGGTACATTACCATCATTGGAATTTTTAAATTTCTTATTATCAGCAAGAATTGCATGTAAAGGCGCTGTAATTGGTTTAAAAGTTTCTTCTAAATTTGAAGCATTCTCATTTTTCATTTGTTTTAATTCATTGAACTTTCTTTTTAAAATATTTCTACTCTCTGTCAACTGTTTTAAGACTTGACGTTTCATTGCTCTAGTTTTCTCAGACACTCACTTGATACTGTGAGAAATGTAAATGTAATTAAATATTTATAACAAATTTATTTGTGTTTTTTGAAGAAAATTTATTTTTATTATTGCAAATATATAGCTTAAAAGTATTAAAAATGTATACATTTTTTATGATTTCACAACTTTATTTAATTCCAAGTACAAATTATTATCATCCTTTTTCAAAATATAAAAACGGTTATCCTTTATAATGTTGATTGTTGCATCATCTAAGGTTGAGTAGCGCTCCGGTAAGTATAAAATATACTCCTCAAGTTCAAGAGCAAGGGAAGTTCCATAGCTGGTTTTTTTACGTTGAGCATTCATAATCGGGTAAAAGCAATTTGTTTTCATCTTGTTCTTGGTGAGTAGAGGTTTGGCCATCTTTCCATTGAAGTCCTTAATAACTTTCATTACCATTTCCGGGTTGGTCATATTGCAGATGATTCCTGTTTTTTTCTAATTGATGGAAAATAAATGGAAACAGATTGTTGTTATTATATAGTTTAATAGTTGTTTAATTGTTGTTAATATGCAGTTAATAGCTGTTCTTACCTGTTTTTTTAGCAGTTAATTGTTGTTAATATGCAGTTAATAGCTGTTCTTACCTGTTTTTAGCAGTTAATCAACTGTTTTTTCCAGGCTGTTTATAGATGTTGTTGTTTGTTGTTTGTTGTTTGTTGTCTGATTTTTAACTTTGACTGTGTGTTAAAATAATTTTCACACCGATTTTATAGTCGAGAGTAGAACAACCCTCTCAATTTTTGAAGACATTCTTTCATTTTAAATTCGGGAGCAGACCAATCAGAGAAGAGCATAGTTGAGACATAGGGTGGGTTTGAAACGATCTCAGAGAAAGTATTCTAAGATCTCACCCAACCATGAGACAAATAGTTAAAAATAGGGTGGGTTTGAAACGATCTCAGAGAAAGTATTCTAAGATCTCACCCAACCATGAAGCAACTAGTTAAAAAATAGGGTGGGTTTGAAACGATCTCAGAGAAAACTAGAGAAGAGTGTAGACCAATCATGAGTTGATAGAGAGTAAAAATTGTAGAGACAGGTGTCCACAATTGTTTGTGTTAAAGGCTTGCTTTCTATCATAATTATAGCTAATATTATTCCCCAAGTATTTCACAACTTCTTTTGGTGGTTGTAAATTTCCAAAACTATCAAAGTAGTGTATATTTTTTTTATTTTTATTATAAGCTACCCAATGTGTACCATTTGATGAGGCATCGCCTAGGTTTATAATTCCTGATTCATGAATCCAAGGTGATTTCGGTAGTGAGTCTCTCATAAATACACCTCGAAAATGAGGAATATATTTTTGAGCAAAATCTAAAATTTCAAAATTTGAAAGTGCCTTCTTGGGTAGCTTACTGATTAGTTTTTTTGATTTCCTCTAAATGGGTTAAGATATAATCCATACCCTTTTCTATAAGGTTTCAGAAACATACCTTCACCCACACTAATACTTTCCATTTT